GATAATATCTCAAAAGCTATGGGCTGCATGTCCACGTTCTGCGGAGAGGCGCTTAACACATTGGTGGAGAATTATACTTCTCGAAACAAATAGCAGGAACGGACGCATGAAGAATGGCAGATGATTCTGATGCTGAAAATTCGAAGGTTGGTTGCCAGTATGGCGTAGTCATGGTGACCATACTTTCTGGCATTATTAACATTCAAAGTCAAAATATGTTTATTGTATGAAAGGCCTCCGGCCCATATACATGAGAGTTACAGTGATAAAGGAATATTTTGGATATTTACATATATATTTAAGGGTATACAATTCTTTTTATAAGAATATCTCTTTTTGCTAATTCATGCTTTATACACAAAGACAATTGAACAAGAATATTTTCATTATTAGTTTGTAACAACGATATATATGCATAATGGGATTGCTTTGCAAGAAAATGGCGTGGTATATATTTCTGTCTTAATTCCTGATAACAAGGACGTATCAGCGTAAAATGAATTTCATTTTCTATCCCAACGTTACATGAAGGACAATATCGACTTCCTTTCTGGACAGAGGTTTTTCTACCCTCATTAATCAATAAAGATAACAAACCTAAACGATATTTAACTAACATTGTTCTTAAACTATATGTTGTAATTATTAATAAGTATTTTTCTGGCTGGAGTAACGTTTTAAAGATCCTGTAATATTCATATCGTGAGCTTGAATCTAAGGTGGATTTCCATTCTTGATTGAACATATCTATTGATCTAACACGAAATTCATTAACAGACCAGTTCACATCGCCAATTGTCTGGCACAACCATATGAAACCGAAACCATGAGAATGTTGTGTATTCCTCTCGGATTGCAAGTAAATTGTTAGCAAATTTCAGTTTGAGCTGTGTATTAGCTTAAATCAGGGTAAAATAAGTAACAGTTACTAATACAACAACACGTTGGTTTTTTTGTACTCATCATTGAAAAACATGGAGGGTGATTGATTAACGCTCGTGTATGTTTACCTTCATACGTCAGTAAGACAATATGGCGCATGTAGATTCATTTCTTCTCACCCTCTCACGACGAGCTTGTAGTTAACTGTTAACAGAAATCCCCATTGTGTGGGCGATAAGTCGATAAGTAATGCTGTGTGACGAGAACAGGAAGACGAACGTCTCTGCAAACGACTCGAACTTAGGAGACAGACCCTCGTCGACAAAGCCGGACACCTGCTGTCCGATTCAGGAGTAAATGAACACGTGTGCGACAAAAATATATTTGTGCTAGTAAATGAATGTGAATGAGAGGAATGTCGGTAACTCCAGTTTATTGTTACCTCCAACTTTATCAATATCAAATATTACTGGTACAGACTTGCATGTGGGTTGATAACTTCAATGAAATACCTATGTCAGTAAGGCGAACAGAGAAATGCCAACCCTTTGAGAGCCACCCGAAGGATCCAAAAGAAGATAAATATATCAGATGAAATGTTTCTGGAACCAGAGCAGTCAGTAGTTGAAATGATGATTAATTCCGAAAATATTATTTTCATTGTCGATTTTAAAGCTGAGACAAACAATCGAATGAATTCCTGAAGCTTTGACAATCATATCATCTCCTTGTATAGTTGGACTTTGAAAACAAAAAGAATAATATACTGGGTCGATACTCAGTAACTACATAAGATTATTAGGAATTCCCACATACTCAATATGCACAAATTTACGACAGGTTAATGTGATCGATAATCGGAAAATAATAGGAAAAAGTATTTTTGAGTATCGATATGAAAATCGTATTATCGATAATATCGCACAAGTTGTGATAGATAAATGCAAAATAGGATTTTATTCATTGTCTCTAAAATAGGTTCAGGATGCTGTTTTGTTAATAATCCATGCAAAATCTTCTCACCAGTGATGTGAAATGAGAAATATTCATTTCTGTCAGACATTTTTGCTCAAAGTTACGTCTCCGATATTTATCGACAATCGATCAGTATATTTTGTGAACGATTAACGACCGCAATGATCTATATCGATAGCCAGCCGTACGCAAGAAGAAATAATTATGGCGTCAAGTTGTTAGATAAATACAAAAACCTAAGTATGTATACTTGCGGCGGGCGGATTGGCAATAATAACTTCCAACCAACATGCAAGGATAAAAGTGTGGTAGACCATGTGCTTGCTTCTCCGATGTGCTTAAATATGTTCAGACAGTCAGTGCTGTATAAAGCTGATTGAAGGTCCATTTAATCGTTTGTACAACATTACATTTCCGATTTGTGATATTCTAAAAAGGCTATATATTGTTGGACGCGACCAAGCCACAGGAAGAGCGCATAAGGTTGCAAGACGATTCAATAACACAGTCATTTGTTTGACTAGTAACAACTCATAAATTTAGTTCATATGTTAACTTTGTACGTGTGCCGAAGGCCTTTCCACTGATTGATTGATTGATTGATGAATGGATTAATTGCCGAATTACATAGAAACGAAATATGTAACAAACTAAGAAGCGATGCCAAATCCCAAAATGATTTTAAAATATGGTAAATCCCCAAACCTGCAGTGAGAAAAGTGTATCAACCTTTATTCCGGTACTCAAAAGGCCTCAGGCCTACAGTACACTATGTATATTTGCTTTATACAAGTTCAAGGAACAATACGCTTTCTATATGTACAAATGCGTAGAAAATATACATGGACAGGTTTTCAATTTCTTTAGTATTTGAACTGTTTAGCAGTAGTGAAAACTTAAGCCTGTTTGGATGGACATAATATGTTTCTCTTATATATTTGCTTCGAAGATTACTGAAGTTAGGGCATACAAGAAGAAAATGATACTCGTCTTCAATTGCATTTGAATTACATAATTGACAAGTTCTATTTTCTCTATTCATATTTACGTATCTACCTTTCTCAATTAAAAGTTATTGATAATTGAAGTCAATTGAAGATTTTACTGAAAATGCTGAGAAGTGTTATCCCTCTATAATAATTAACGTTGTTTAAGTCGCCAGTTTTGTGCAAAGAAACTATTATTCCCATTGACCATTCTTAGGAAAGTTACCTATTCCAAGTATCATGTTGAATAATAAATCTAAGTTTGGGGTTAAAATATTCAAACAATTCAGGTATCATATTGTATATTCCTGGGGATTTGTTAAGCTTAAGATTCTGGATGCTGTCTAATATTTCTCCTCTAGTTAGTTATAGGTGAGTCTAGTATCTAAACACAATTTAGTAACACGGTCACAGCTGGTGATAACGAATTGCTAAAACAAGACAACTGACAGTATGATAATATAAATGAAGCTACTATGATAGAAGAAGTAACAGCTGCAATGGAATCAATGAAACGTAGCAATCACTATATATCATTTATTCTTTTGACATTTTTTGGTTACTTTATGTACATTTCTTTAATGTTCATTTGACATGGCTGCTTCCTGCACATATGGCTTAATGAAATCACCAGACCTGTATATCTTACAAAAAGGGCTACTCTGTGGATCTCATGCATACATGATAAATTATCATCAGTTCAGGCATGATTCCGAAAGCACTATTCTCCAATAGATAACATTCCAGTTATGCATCTACTCACTAATATACTGAAAAATAATAATAATAAACTCGTAGTGTTTTATGCACTTTAATCTGTCGAGACCTTGTGGCTCGGGTATAAATAACTTATGGGGGGTATAACAGGTCATTTTTTTCATTAGTTCAAAATACGCACGATAACATTCAATCGAGTGAACTTGTCAATGATAAAATGACGGGGTTTTTATCTGGAGTAAGACAAGGAGATAATCTATCACCTTTGCTCTTCTCTGTGATATGATTCTGTCTTGCTTAAAACATCAGTGCAGCGGGGTTAATGTACAATGCTCCAGCGAGGACGACGGGCTCTGTTATGTTATAATTCTTTTAGATACCGATTATAGTCCCTTTTGAGAAAACTCAACCTCTCTCCAGACGTCAACAGACGAATTCTACATCTTTTGTATAAAACATAACTTCAATGTTAACATCCCCAAGAACAAAATAGTTGTTTTTGATAGTTGACATGTTATGGAAACCTCCATGCAATAGATAAAATCGACAAAACCCTTTCCATATTCATAAGAAATCTCTGCTAACAGCACAGTTGATTGTACAGTTGTGACTATACCATGAGCATATGTTGTTTCAGCAGTATTACAGCTGTACGATGTTGTTTGTAAAATTAGAAAAGGCTGACTTTATCTCGACATCAAATTCAACATCTGCCCATCCCAATATTTTCATCACCACATGGATCGCCTTAACTGTAGAACGCATGCTGAAGGATATATCAGTTGTTCGCAATCTATAGCCTGTTTTTATATTGTATTGTACTCTGTAGTTAAAATGTTTTAGATTTAATTGCTAGTTTTAAATTTATGTCTGTGATAAGCTAGTTGTTTTACTGTTATTCGTTGACAGGATTTTAATATTTACTGTCAATTACTATAAATATATAATTTGATTGTGTCATGATATGGCTGAAATATTTTTGCCGATGTGACTTAAAATATTAACTCACTCACTCACTCATCACTCACTCACTCACTCACTCACTGAAGTATATATTTTGTCACAATACGGATGCGATATCATATAGCTTATCCGAAAGATACTCAGCATCAATTTATCAAACAATTTTCACATCTCAACAAATATTTGATATGATCAAGAACAGTTTCATGTCCTGTTTTAAGATATATAGCAACAAATCATATTTACCTGTTGGAAAATCATACCAACAGGTAAATATGATTTGTTGCTATATATCTTAAAACAGGACATGAAACTGTTCTTGATCATATCAAATATTTGTTGAGATGTGAAAATTGTTTGATAAATTGATGCTGAGTATCTTTCGGATAAGCTATATGATATCGCATCCGTATTGTGACAAAATATATACTTCAGTGAGTGAGTGAGTGAGTGAGTTAATATTTTAAGTCACGTTAGTAATGGAATGATAAGGGAACAGGGGGCTTGAACATTAATAAATCAACGTCTATTTCAGACGAATTCCAATATATTTTTCTGTTGTGAATTATTCAAAGACGAAAAAACATATACACATCTAATAGGATACTTGGCAAAACATGACCTGGTTCCAACAACTATTTTGTACACCCAGCTGGAACGAAATATAATCTCTGTTTACGTGTATATGGATAAAATACGGAACTACAGACCTCTAAGACTTGTTGTCAGTATTATTTGTGAAGTAAAACATACCTTGCCTTACAAGCAGTGGTGGATTTTGAGAAGTATAAAGTTCAGAAAGTACTTCTGAGGTTGTTAGTGGCTTTGGTTGCTGGCCCATTTTTATATTGTGTGGTTAATTTACAGGGATTATATTAAAGGCACCTAAATCGTTTTTATTTAATATTTGGATGCATTGTGATAATCTAGTTGTTATACTGTCCTTTGTCGACAGAATTCTATACCGTTTATTGTAATATTTTTACCTATAATTTTCTCTCGTCACGATATTGATGAAATATTGCCGAGGTGATGATAACTTTTAACTCACTCAGAAAGTACTTATATTGCAATAATGCGTGCTTATCCCGAAGCGGTAATAGCCCGTATAAAAAAATGATTGTTTTAATTGACAATTGGTGGTATCTAACTGGTTTTACATTCAGTTATAGGTCATTCATCTTGCTGGCGCTAAAAACATTATCTTGCAATAATAGTTGAATGTCCACCACTCGGATACATAGGTACATTTTGGCATATCATTTTTCAAATCGCGTACATCTTTGTTTTTCCAGGGTAGTGTTAATCTCTTGCGGGCGCTTTACCCCAGGCCTTGACGTCCTCTATTGTCTGGGGAAGTTCTCGTCCCTCTGGTTCAGGGAGAAAATAATTGAGCCCAGCTGTTATCAAACACGCTACCCCGAAAATAGTCCCAGGAGCCCAGGGTGCAATGGCTGCCTGCAAAACAAAGTATACAATACACAGACGTGTTCGATTTGAATTTCAATCTGCGAGCCGAGAAGCATATGCAAATATATTTAGAGTACTCCAAGGCTCCAGATAAAGGCTGTATCGGCGTATGTACAGCTAAAATATGTGCACGATACGATGGGAAATAATTTAGGAAACGTAACAGATACGCACCAAAGCAATGGTGTACGGTCTTAGAATCATTTACAGACGTATTTATCTGAAAAAGTATTGTTTTATTGTTTATTGACCTGTTTACACAAGACTAGCAATGTTGTGGTGCATATGTATGAAACGAAACACAAGATTACTGATATGCCATTAAATTCCATTCAGTACTCTAAATGTACTCGTAAGTTTTTCCAGTACTCCTGTATTGAAAAAATAAGGAGTACATACTCTTGATGTTGAAAAATTATCTGGAGCCCTGTACTCAAAACGTCGAGACATGCTGATCTTAGTGCTTTACATATACAATAAATTCAGTGATATCAATATGTCATTGAATTGGATAGATATATTTCAACATGACATTAATCAATTCTGATCATCATAACTTAGTGCGATATTTTCAAAATGGAAAATGCGTTTTCGTTCAGAAACACAACTAGCAGATTGATGTTGATTCTTACTAGTATAGATATGAAAGGGGCGATCATCCCTCCAACCCTAGCAGCTGTAGAACCGGAGCCCATACCTGCGGATCTGCCGAAAGTAAAATGATATACATGTACACACGTGATATTGCAGAAGAGAGTCCAAATCCCCATTGAGCCAAGCTGAGATCACTCTATTGCATTTTGAGCCAACTATCTGATCGCTTCCTCAAGAACAAGAACACTCCATCTTATACGGGTATACCTAGTTGTATAGACTCGTCAACGTTTAATACAATGTAACATATGTTATATTTGGGATTACACTTTCTCAGTAAAGTACAGAATCTATTACTTTTTGGGTTGAGTCCCATCCGGGCTGAGCGGTCTAGGCGTCTGACTTTGTGTGCTGGCGATTAGGTGCCTGACTCTAAGGGTGTGGGTTCTAATCCCGGATGGGACTCATCCCCCAAAGTACTAGAATCTGTACTTTATTGAGAAAGTGTAAACCAAATATAACATATGTTACATTTGACCACTTTCACAGTATTTAAAAGTTCTGAAACATAAAACAAACTTTCATAATTGTAACAGGCGATTGATGTCCATAGGAAGAACATCTTAACGTTCTAGAACTTTGCTAAAAAATGGTCAGGAGAAGTAGAATTCTGAAATGATATAGAGGGCTGATTGATTGACAGAGAGTGATTTGAGTCATGGATGAATTGTTTTGAGTCTTGCTGATTAGACTCTACAGTGATTTGGGCCAATATTGAAACAGTTTATGGGACTTTTAAGGAACTTTTTCATCACTGTTTCAACTCTATAATTGCGTTACAATCTTGACGTTCATAAGAAAAACAGATGCTGCGTACAAACCCCCCGGTGCATTTGAAGGGTAAGACTGTGTGAGATTTGTTCAAATCTGTAATCGTATCTTGGACTTTAATATACAAAGGTCTGGGCAAAAGTGAGTGAGTGAGTTTAGTTTTACGCCGCACTCAGCAATATTCCAGCTATATGGCAGAGGTCTGAAAATAATCGATTCTGGACCAAACAATCCAGTGATCAACAGCATGAGCATCGATCTGCGCAATTGGGAACCGATGACGTAGGTCAACCAAGTCAGCGATCCTGACCACCCGATCCCGTTAGTCGCCCTTTACGACAAGCATGGGTTACTGAAGATCAATATTCTAACCCGGACCTTCACGGGTCTGGGCAAAAGAATACCCAGACTTGATTATCCTCGGAAACAAATACCTTTTGTAACGTCATGGAGATTATATGAATGGATCACTGAAAATCAAATAATGACACCTGGTGTTCACGGAAAAGGTACGCGCGTCCTGCCTAACGGGTAGCACCCATCATTCACAAAATGTGCCTATAAAAGCAAGTATGTAGGGACATTCTACGGTTGCCTGTAAACAAACCGCAATCAAGTGACCGGTGGACAGAAAATCGAGTCTGATAATTCAGGATTACGATTGTTGTGAAGAAGTTAAGAGATTTCGCTGCTTTCAAGTCAAGAAAAACATCTGGGAAATAGATTCTTAGTATTAATGTCTCGGAGCAGTGTTGGACGTAACCAAAAATACAATTTAAGCACGATCCAAGTTCATAGAAAACAGCTGGATACCGGAAGGTCGGGGGTCGGGTCCCCACGTCCTGACACTCGGCATTTTAGGATGATCGTACGTTCGAATCGCCACATGGGTACCATCTGTGAAGCCCATTTCTGTGATATTGATGGATTATTACTTTAAGCGGCGTAAAATCATACTCACTCACTCATTTTAGGATGAAACAAGCACTGCTCGGGGTTAGTATATCGTGTCTGAGTAGGCTGCTATGTTAAATCTGCAGGATGATATGAAAGGGGCAGCTTGACAACTTTGTTATCTCCGTGTGAGAAATAATACGCATTATAACGGAAAGCACACGTAAAATCTCCAAATAATCATCATCATCATCCACATTGTTATCTGCACAGAAAATATTGAATCCAGGTTCTGGGTAAACCCGAGTTCGTTAAGTTCGCTTACACCTACAAGCACCTAAATGCAACCAAGATAACTCGATATTGGAATACATAGTTTCTGATAGAATAACACTTTCATCGCACCAAAATTCTTTGAAGTAATATTTTTAGATATAGCACAATGCCATACACATCCCTCCTAGTGATATTGGGCAGCAAATTAGAGGCACAGGCCCTCGGGTTTTGCGAGGATTAAAGATTAAAACGATAAAAAAATATATAAAAATAGAATGCACTTTTTAGATGACCCTCGACTCGAAATGCTTCGAACAATAATTCATGACGTCATGATTGATGGTAATGAGAACCATTTCGAGTCGGGGGTCATCTCAAAAATGTTTATTATTTTTCTTTTAATCTTTGATCCTCGCAAAGACACGAGTGCCTGCGCATAGAGGGGGAAGAACGGGTGTTTTATTCACCCCTGTGGACATAGACAGATCTGAAATCTCTCACCCTACCGTTCAACATCATTCTGCTTGGACAAAGGGCACATTCATAGCTTACCGGCTCCTACTTTCTGCAGTGTCACTGCAGACGGTAAACAGCTCGGCTGTCTTTTGTACTCACCATGCAGTGTATAAAGGACAGCATTGTGAGTCTTTGATAAAGCCATGAGCTTCAGTGTCACTGATTACTATAGATTCCCTCTGTTTGCATCGAAATCCCAACAGTTGCAATCCCGATCTTTCGTGTTCTCATGTACACACTCTTGTATACCTGTTTGGTGATGTAGCACTTAGAGCTGTCTAATTTGAGTACAAAACTGCAAGTCATGACGGCTGAATGCATACAGCAAATCCAATTCATCAGATGATACATTAAGAAATGACATACATTCTTTGAGGGAGGGTATCAACGTGTTGCGGTGTGGCGCCAAATAAATACCACAAGGGAGAACATCAGATCGTTTGGACGTTGGTGTTTTGCATGAAAATCTCGATATAAATATTTATAACTTTTAGACAAGCTGTATGAATGAGACATGCTAAAATAACCTTTTCGCGAAAACCTGTTGACATCACTGATATCCAGGGATCCATTCACATGATTTTCACAAGTATTTTGCCCTTTAAATCCTCATTCCGTTTCCGTTATCCAGAATCTGTTTCTGAGGATAGTCAAGGCTAGGTATATATTGCACTCACGTATTTACGAGCTATTTCAGTCCGCGGAGAGAACTTAGACCAAATAATAGAAAGAACATCAGTCTCTATAGTATCCCAGAAGGTACAAATACATATTACAATACATGGAAGTTACAAGCTCTAGAAGTTGATAATTCCACCAGAGGAACTTATGTGTGATCGGGTAGCCAAGTGGTTAAAGCGTTCGCTCGTCACGCCGAAGACTCCGGTTCGATTCGGCTCGGAGTCAGTATAATGTGTCTGAGAAGGATATTCAAGCTGAACTGCGGCATGGTGTCTCAGTGAGCTAGCACTATAAAAGTCTGGGCTTGTACAAGCAGCCACACATACACACGCCTGCACGTCGTCATATGAGCGAAGGGGGCGGTGGGGTAGCCTAGTGGTTAAGGCGTTCGCTCGTCACGCCGAAGACCTGGGTTCGATTCCCCACATGGGTACAATGTGTGACGCCCATTTCTGGTGTCCCCCGCTGTGATATTGCTGGAATATTGCTAAAAGCAACGTAAAACCATACTCACACACTCACGAACAACCTACTGACATTGAGTGAGTGAGTTCAGTTTTACGCCGCTTTTAACCATATTCCAGCTATATCACGGCGAGGGACACCCGAAATGGGCTTCACACATTGTACCCAGGTGGGGAATCGAACCTGGGTCTTCGGCGTGACGAGCGAACGCTTTAACCACTAGGCTACCCCACCGCCCTACTGACATTGGATATCGAACCGACACTTCTAGTCGGAGTTCAGAAAAGAAACGCGACCAGTGATTGGAATACTGTCCTACTGGAATGACAAGATAAACACTCTCACGTCACGTTAATCTCTAACATCTAAATGTTATTTTGTAGCAAATGGACACAGTTGGACACAGAGACGGAAATAGAAAGAGAACATTCCATTAAACATTATTTCTATAAAGGGAAATATGTTCCGATGCGTGATACAATTTACGCATCAATGATCCACACTCTCGTCCCAACATCCCCAGAGTTGGTTTGTTGTTTAACGCAATATTCCAGATATAAGACGGCGGTCTGTAAATAATCGATTCTGGACCAGACAACCCAGTGATCGACAGCATGAGCATCAATCTTCGCATTTGGGATACGATGACATGTGTCAACCAAGTCAGCGAGTCTGACCACCGATCCCTTTAGTCGCCTTTTACGACGATTTTTCCGATTATTGATTATTTTACCCAGCCCTAGTCATATGTTTGGGTTTTGTTTAAATTATTGTATTGGTAATGATGAAGTAGTCCCTCTGGATACTTGAGAACTCACAAGCAAAATATGCCGTTAAGTACATACTTGGTAAAAATATTCTCTTTACCCCTCACTCCTGTTACATCGTACAACCAGCACGGAAAAGAGGCAGCTCTTGTGTCACTAACCTGAGATTTGTCGGGAAGATCTCGGGCGCATACACAAACATTGCATTGAAACAGGCGCTGTTACCGATTTTCCCAATGAAGGCGAAGACTGTGGCTGCCGTTGATGCTGCTTGGCCGACTGAATGCGACAGAAAATACATCTATTAACCGAATGTTATTTTCTGTGGTAAAAAGTGAGTGGTTGGGTAAAGGGTAAAGACTGAGGGCGCATGTTCCAATTTCAGCTTGTTACTACCGAGGTATACCGGCATCATCAACTTCCCCATCCTTTTCACCAACCATGTAATAACTGAAATCAAGTTTGAAGCAGAGAAATTACTTGTGACTTATTTGCATAACATACGTACTGTATATCATAACATTAAAATTGAAAATCTTTAAATTTTGGGGATGTTAAGAAATTTTGTTGAAACATCCCAAAATATTCATACTCCTTATCTTTTTTGTCAATATTTGCACCGTAAGTAGACAACATTTACATTATTTAGGGTTGTATGTCTGTTGTCTAACGCCGCACTCAGCAATATTACAGCCACATGGCGGCGTTCTGTAAATAATAGTCTCTGGACAAGACAATCAAGTGATCCACAGTATGAGTATCGATCCACGCAATTGGGATACGATGATATGTGTCAAACCAAATCAGCGAACCTGACCACCTCTTACGACATGAATGGGTTGCTGAAGACCTATTCTAACCCGGAACTTCATAGGTTACATTCATTATAACACTGGTTTTAATATATTAGGACATATTATTGACTACACTCATAATCGAACACAAACAATTCAGGAAGAACACTTGTTTTCATCAACAATATTTTTCACAAGGTTGGTTTTGTCTGTTACATTTCATAAGCACTACAAGCGTTACAAGTCATGATTGAATTTATCTGAAAGACACCAAAAAATTTATGTTCCTAACATACTAGTCATCCTTTAAAGATGTGAAATTTTGCAAAAGAAAACCAAAATAACTACATGTTTTTATTCCTTATTTTTTGTGCATTAACAAATTTCATATGTGACGCTAACCAATCATCAATTAAGAGATTTTAACCAATTCCCAAAACTAGTGCCCATTTCTTGTGTCTCCTTTCGTCATATTGCTAAATGCGGCATATCACCATACTCTTTCACCCTAGTGATTCACTGACGTGTACTAAATGTGTCTATTTGTTTTTGTTTAACTTAGCCCCCGACGATATTCCAGCTGTATGACAGCAGTATGTAAAAAAAAGAGTCTGGGCCAGACAATCCAGTGATCAATAGCAAGAACGATCTACGTAACTGGGATACGATGACGATACCAAAAGATTGCTGAAGAACAGTTTTAACTTGGATCTTTAGAAGTCTCTAAATAATATCAAATGTCTTGAATGAATGAGCATTGCATATACTCAGTAAAAGCTCACCCGCCAGTACTCTGATTGTAGTGGCCAAAAGAAGACACACACCAGCCAGTACGTGGAAGAACATGAAGAAAACTCTCCTTCCCCACCTACGGCATAGAAACAGTAGATGTGGTTGTCTGTTTGTTATTTAACGCTGCACTCAGCAATATTCCAGCTGTATGGCGACGGTCTGTAAATAATCGAGTCTGGACCAGACAATCCAGTGATCAACAGCAAGAGCATCGATCTACGCAATCGTGATACGATGACATGTGTCAATCAAGTCAGCGAGCCAGACCAGCCGATCCCGTTAGTCGCCTCTTACGACAAGCATGGGTTTCTGAAGACCAATTCTAACCTGGATCTTCACGGGTAGAAACAGTAGATACATCTTTGAAAAATATATATATGTCAACGCAATTGTAACTGACTTGGAACATGTTACATTACTGTTCAATATGTATTTTGTTTAAAATATTATGGAGTATGCACAAAGAACATTTCATTTGAGGAACATTTTGAAATGTGATGCATTTATCACATACCGTTTTCCGACAAACAAGTTTAGTGGACCTGATGGTATTTCAGCCAACGAGTTGAGGAAGAAGTTCAGATAGTGATCATCAGCAAGTGATGAAGAAGTCAGATAGAGGCTGAAGTATGTCAAGCTGTCGATCAACCTGCAATATTCCATTAATCATGACATTTGCGTTATTAGTAAGAGTCTTGGTGTTGAAGAAATGCTGAAAATAGTCTCGTTGTGTGATGTGATTTCACTAACTACAAACCTGTATTTTAGCAACTTAAACCTCGGATTCTGGTATGGCTAAAGGAAACCGCTCTGTACAGTGGATATAGGCGCACTAAATATTAACGGAGAGTTACTAACTTACAATTTGTTTACGTCGTTCTTCCTAGGAACGTTTATTTGTTTGTTGTTTAACGCCAAACTCAGAAATATCCCAGCTATATGGCAGCGGTTTGTAAATAGTCCAGTCTGGACCAAATCTAGTGGTCAACAGCATGAGCGTCGATCTACGCAGTTGGGATACGATGACATCTGTCAAACCAAGTCAGCGAGCCTGACCTCCCGATCCCGTTAGTCGCCTCTTACAACAAGCATGGGTTGCCGAAGACCAATTCTAGCCCGGATCGTCATGGGGTTCCAGGAACGAGAAATAGTGGAATAGTATTTTCGTCTATTCGTCTATACACTCACCAGGAGAACCACACAACGCCACATATCTTCAACATAAACTTGGTCCGCACCAAGTCCAGGCAGCTGTACATCACGTCAGCTGTCTCGGTCTCTTTTGCTTCCAAATATTTTGTTTTCGTGCTGCTCAGTTCAACGGGTGGTTTTTCGGGTCCGATGCCTGGCAATGGTACATCTGTTACCTCGACTTTGTTCATCTTGGCTGCCCTCTTGAATATTGCAAATGCTCTTTTGGCCCTTTTGTTAGTGATCAACCATCTCAGGGACTCCCCATAAAGCTGAAGTGGTCGAAACATGGTCTATTAATGTATATTATATAGTTAGGTTGCCAGTTTTGACTTGTAGCAGCCTTTCTATTTCTAGTGAGTAGTTATTAAGTCTGTATTGGCGTATGTATTCTACTCCAGAATACCTTGAGAGTTTATAAGTATTACAAATGTATTCATTAGCTATTAAAAATAAACAATTTAGTATTTAGAAAACACATCAAGGTGTGGACGAATAAGAATAATCACATAGTTTCAAAACGACAAAACGATTAGATAATGTAAAACAAATGATAGTTATTATTTGACGTATCTTGCCCCAACGTTGGCACCGTTCACAATTACATGCACAGGAATTCTGTGAATACGGATATGAAGCAGGGTAGACTCACAAGATCTGCAGAAGGACAGTGATGGACACCGACACGAAACTAAGCTGCAGAGTTCTCCAGTCCACATCACGTAACAAGTAGGCCGTCCCTGTGAGGAGTACTGTGCTGATGCTCCACGATAACGCGTTAAAAGTGGCCAGTTCTAATCGCCTGCTCCTCGGGAACGCTTCCATTAGCATAGTGTAAGTTGTTACGACGATGCCCTGCAGTAATGAAGGAAATAGTCAAGTCAGGGGCCCCGGTCACTGGCCCTCGTGCGAGGATAAAAGATGATAATACAATAAATAAATACAATACAATAAATCATGATTTTTTCAAAATGATCTTTAATCGTCACAAAGACACGAGGACCTTTGGTGCCAGTATATATGAACTTTCGGTTTACCGAAATAAATTACTTTATCTTGTCTTAGGAAATGGTATCCATAGAAATATATTTCGTGTTCTTCAACATTTATATGACAACGTGAAGTCTGCTGTCGCTGTCGGCGAAGGGAGAAAACTATCTGATGATTTTGATTGTTCCACTGGTGTTAGACAAGGATGTCCACTTAGTCCCTTGTTGTTCTCCATATTTATCAAAGTGTGGACCAGGCCATTCATTAATTAGGAGTGACCAGCATGGCCCAATTGATTAGTGTGCTATATTTATCTGCGTTTTGGGAGGTCTGTGTTATGGGAGTACACCTACTTGATGCAGTTGCGTACATCGATGCTTATGATGTTGATCGCCGGATTGTCTGATCCAGAAAATATTATTATGTACAGACCGCCGTCATATAGCGTGGACATTGCTGTGTCATCAAACAATAAACACCTACTTGTAGCGCCATGAGCGGGTATTAGTACCTGGATGTAGCGCTATATAAATACCCACATTATTATTATTATTATTTACTTGATGACTTTCAAGAGATAAAACTGGGATTACGTATCCGTAAGTTTTATGTATATGTAAACTGTTTCGAAGTTTAGTTTTACAAAGTTAAACTTCAATCGCTCCTACTATGCTAAACCCAAAGTGAGTAGCCTTAAACTCAGTATAAAGAAAAACAATAAGGTAATTTCTTCATACATGTATGTCCACATTATAGCACCATTAAATCAAACCCATACGTCTATACCATGGGATATAAACTAACAATTTAGGCATCCGTTCACGATCACATCAGACAAAAATTGATTATTAAATTAAACACTAAGAAGTTTATATGGCTTGCTACTCACTCCCGATATACCTTAGTCATATCGACTGGTATTATCTATTATGTATGTCTTGGTGGCTGTGATTGATATATGTCTTGATTAGAGACTGTATGTATTGCTAATGCGATATCTATATAAATACTGGATATTGGGAAGTACCAACGGTACATATGTCACAACAAAATACTTTCGTGGCCGACCTTGACTCACTTGATGGAAAGTCATTACTAAGTAAAAGTAAATATACTCAAGAATAATACCTCTATTTACATTCAATTTGCTTTTCGGAATCCTGACAAAGTTCTGCTGAAGTCCAACTGACGAATTGTGACTCTGGAGCAATGGAGGTGTTTTGAAAACTAACAGAAAAGAAACGTACGTCCTACCATTATCCACACAAACGGTGTTACCTAGGCAAAGTGTCATGTATTCCTGTTCTTCCAATTTACGAATGCATGAAAAGACTTGAAACCATTATCCGTTACACAAATGAACGAATTTGCATTCATTCTCCGCAAATATGATGTTGATTATTTCCTTATTGGTGTGCAGTGCTTTCTAGACACAGACGACATCAACTGCACTATTCAAGGTCATATTTTGTGCAGTGCAGACTTAATGCATGAAAATTAAATGGATTAGATCAGTGAACGTTTACCTGTTGGAAAATTCCATTCACCAATCTCAGACCAGAAAAAGCTGCGATGTTAGGAGCGAACGCTAAAGCAAGACCTGCACCGGCCGTCAACACGTGTGACATGACAAGGAAAGGCCTCCTCCCGAATTTGTCCGACATCACCGAGACCGTGGCTGCGCCAACCCCTTGTCCAACGATGAAGAGAGACTGCGGGAGGCGACCGAGGAAGACATTCCCACACACGAGATCCCACTGGAAGTGAAGAAAAAGTGAATACGTTATTTTGTTCCCAGGGGCGTAGCTACCGTGATAAAACAAATGCCCGGGCTTACACGTGATTGTTGCTATGAAGGTTTGTCAAGCCCTCAATACTATCTAAATATAAAGCTTTGCAACCTATCGGGCTTACACGAAAGAATTGGCTTGCTACGCGCCTGGTTTCTGACATTCTGTTTCGGGGTATGGTCTTGAAATTCAGTGTTTATGGATCACGTATTTGTAACAGTTGATCTACTAATCTTTATTCTTGGACTCATCTAAAACTACCTCTCACCTCCGAAACTATAGAATAATCCTTCTTGACACCATATGTCCAGGCATTGCATGTATGTGTTGACGTGACATTGGTGATGTTGTTCTGTACGGTAACGTCACATTTGCCGTAGTCGGTGTTGGTGTCGTTGCCATAAAGTGGAGTCACAGCGCACTGTTCTTTCGCATCTTGGGCTATTTGCATAAAAGGACTGTTTGAAAACCAAAGACCATATATCATTCATTGAAAACTATAACACGTGTATCCTTACCCCCTCTTTTGTGCTGATGGTAAATGTCGAGATAGCAAAGTGCTTACGATTCGTAATATATGTTAATAAATCTTATCAGTGTTAGGTATTGATGGTGGTTATTTAATAAGCTAGCTAGAAGCAAACCTATAAAGACGAAGTTGAGGAGATGGAAACAAATTGATAAGTTTCCAATAGCCAGCAGGACAGCTTGAAACAGCTGATAGCGACCAAGTGTGCCCAGTAGTTGTAGTACGTTGTCAATGGTCTTTGGGGGTTCCACTTTGACGTCTGCCATGTCGCAACCTTACAAAGAAAATGTTGCAATGGTTTTTTCATGAAACAAATGATAGGGTTGACTGTATTATATGATGCCAAACAGAACATAGCTCATTCAATATAAGGGGCGGTGAGATAGTCTAGTGGTTAAAGCGTTCGCTCGTCACGCCGAAAAACCCTGGTTCGATTTGCCACATGGGTACAATCTGTGAAGCCCATGTGTGTTGTCCCCGCAGTGATATCCCTGGAATGCTGCTAAAAGCGGCGTAAAACTTAACTCACTCACTTTCACCTTTATTATCAACAACATCATCCCTGCCCCAATCATTTTGCTTCTCAATGAAAAGAGTCAGAGAAGAATCAGTACAGTGAAATGTATTCTTTCTTTACAGGGGGATTCGTTACTCAGCTGAATACATAACTGCTGTCTGGTTTCGCCATTTTGTTTCGTCGTGCACTCATTCAGACTCTGTCAGCCCCCAGGCACGTTTACCACTCACGTTTAAATGTTCGTTGCATAAATATGTTAAATTTCCACTCATAATTTAATCATTCGTGACAGAGACCTTTCTTTCCATCCATTCGTGCGACACCTGAGAAAGTGTCCATGTTGAATGACACGGCATTCGTTCATAAAGCAAGGACATAACACTATATTGCCAAATCTGTTCACCCACAATGAATGTGGAAATTATGCTATTGTGAACAGTCAGTCACAGACATGAAATAACTGCAAGCACCGTTCATTGAATGTGATAACACCAACGGATAATAGTCTCTTTAGCAAGTCACGATGAAGTGAAGTTACAGGTGCGTCAATTAATTCGTGCTGTGCCCAGATGTTTTCAAAACGATGACAGTGATTCACAATACAGACGGTAATCCTGAACCTGAAATTCAAAGTTGTTTCACTCGGTCGTTATAAGATCTGGGTTGTCTGCCGACGTTAGGAATACCTGATTGATGAGGCTGCAAACACTAAATGTGTGACCATTTGATATAGGTACAGAATTTGCTTGAAAAATGCTTCTGATTCATAATAATTTGCAAGACTGTTTTGCTTTTTTATATGCTGTGTGTATAAATAGATACGATGAGACTGCAAACACTAAAAGTGTGACCATTTGATATAGGTACAGAATTTGCTTGAAAAAAAAATGCTTCTGATTTATAATAATTTGCAAGACTGTTTTGCTTTTTTTCGCTGTGTGTATAAATAGATACGCAGAGACTGCAAACACTAAAAGTTTGACCATTTGATATAGGTACAGAATTTGCTTGAAAAATGCTTCTGATTTATAATAATTTGCAAGACTGTTTTGCTTTTTTTCGCTGTGTGTATAAATAGATACGAAGAGACTGCAAACACTAAAAGTTTGACCATTTGATATAGGTACAGAATTTGCTTGAAAAATGCTTCTGATTTATAATAATTTGCAAGACTGTTTTGCTTTTTTTCGCTGTGTGTATAAATAGATACGAAGAGACTGCAGACACTAAAAGTTTGACCATTTGATTTAGGTACGGAATTTGCTTGAAAAATGCTTCTGATTTATAATAATTTGCAAGACTGTTTTGCTTTTTTTCGCTGTGTGTATAAATAGATACGATGAGACTGCAGACACTAAAAGTTTGACCATTTGATATAGGTACAGAATTTGCTTGAAAAATGCTTCTGATTCATAATAATTTGCAAGACTGTTTTACTTTTTTTCGCTGTGTGTATAAATAGATACGATGAGACTGCAGACACTAAACATTTGACCATTTGATATAGGTACAGAATTTGCTTGAAAAATGCTTCTGATTCATAATAATTTGCAAGACTGTTTTGCTTTTTTTCGCTGTGTGTATAAATAGATACGATGAGACTGCAAACACTAAAAGTTTGACCATTTGATATAGGTACACAATCTGCTTGAAAGTTTGCTTATGATTCATAATAATTTGCAATATTGTTTTGGGGGCATTTTTCTGTGTGTATTAATAGATACGATGAGGGTGCAAGCACTAAAAGTGTGACCATTTGATATAGGTACACAATCTGCTTGATAAAATGCTTATGATCCATAATAATTTGCAAGATTGTTTTGCTTTTTCTGTGTGTGTAAATAGTTATCTCATCTAATAGTTTAAATCAAACATATGGCTGGTTTTGTAGCTAAAATGGAATAATAACCATCATACAAAATCACGAGTTCTTATTCTTCAGAGAAAATGCGGAAAGGGTAAATAAATGGACTGCACGAAAAGGTATATAATGGCATCATTACTTTGTAAACAAACTTTAGAAACATCAGTACTTGCAACTTGAATCAAAAGTGTCGTTAACGTGGATTTTACCCATTAAAAGCGTCATTATAAGTTGTATGCTTCTCTCGAGGTTAATATGGTCTGATGTACGCCTCTTTGTAAACTAGCGTCCAGAAGAAACGCCACCAAACAGTTTTCTTCACTAAACACAACAAAAGCAAATTATGGTTACGAGAAGTGTTGTATTGTAAAACACAATCATTCAGCAACAGTTCTTGAAACTTTTCAGTTAGAAAAACGAAACAGTTCGTGTTCTGAAGGCACATGGGTGACACAGGGGTGCAGTGTCCAGTATTCGGTCGCCAACGCTGACTCGTCTTTTAGGTTCCTAGCCTGTCCTGAACAACACAGATGGTTCAGTATCGTGTGTGGCCACCCCTAGCAGTGGTGCAGGTTCTAACGCGGCGTCGAACTGAGTATGTGAGCCTTCTGACGTCATCATTAGAGATTCGGCGTCATTCCTCTTGCAGGGCAACTGCCAAAGCGTCCCTAGTCAATGGCGGCTGTTGACGTTTCCGAATACGTTGCCCCAGTTGGTCCCAGAGGTGTTCGATTGGAGACAGATCGGGTGATCTCGCTGGCCACTGTAGCAGGTTGGCGTTGTTAGTGTTGAGGAAGTCACCAGTGATCCGAGCTGTGTGAGGTGTGGCGTTGTCCTGTTGAAAGTCCTTGGGTGACGTTGCAGGTAAGGCAGCAAATTTTACAGGCCGTAAAATCTCGTCGATGTAACGACGTACGGTGAGATTATCGTTGATGATGACGAGACCTGTCTTCGGGTCCCCACAAATTCCGCCCCAGACCATAACGCTTCCAACGCCGTAATGCTCCACTTCTTGGATGCAAGCAGATGCAGTCCGTTCGCCCCGACGTCGGAAACTTGTTAAAAGCGTCATTGACCAATGAAATTAACGTATTTTACATGAAGGTAAGATAAGTGTTCATGTTCGTCCAACTTCTGAATGCATAAAAAAGCTTGAAACCGTTATTTACACAAATTAACGGCTCTGCATTCGAATTGCCTGCACCAGTCAGGGTCATTTTTTGTGCAGGGTAGACTTAATGCATGCAATATAAACAGATTAGGTCAGTGACCACTGACCTGTTTGAAAATTCCATTCACCAATCTCAGAGCAGAGAAATCTGCGACATTAGGAGAGAAAGCTAAAGCAAGACCTGCACCGGCCGTCAACACGTGTGATATATTGTAGCTAAGGACGCATCATAATTCCGTTATGTGTGAAGCAGAATCATCATTTGAAGTTTTACAGTGATGGAGTTCGTGTCTGTGTCCACAATATGTACTTAGCTCGTCTAACGCGGCCAACACGCAGGGCAAGTCTAAACTAAATCCCCTTTTCTTCCCAGGTCTATTACCTGGTCAATAACCACGTGCACGTGTACTTGAAACTGTTGACCAACATATGATATCTAGATAGCTTGATGGGGGTCGTTTTGATATCATCTTCCCTTTACTTACCCGTAGGAAGCACTGAGCAGGACGGTCCAACTTTAAACTGGCAGCGCCTGTCGTTTGCGCGATGCGAGCTGTACGTGTTACTGTTACACTCCCGCTGATGTATAGACAGTATATATTTTCCTTTATACGATGATATGTTATGTCCTCAAATATTTGTTCCGTGATCCCATGATACATAAGGGATTATTGTAATAATGAATCACCTGAAGGCAGTTTGAAGCGAAGCGGTGGGATCTACTGGTCGTTCCTTTCAGGTCGAGTTTTGTCGTTTTGTTGACGTTTGCAATGAAGTCTTTGAATATCACACGTTTAAACTTGAAGCGTATTTTCATTGTATACGTACTCAAATATCTGTCGTATTTTCGACGAGTAGGCTATATGCAGTGTGCGAAATAGTTTCAAATTTTGCTAGCCAGTCGGGCTAGCTATGCCTGAAAGTTTCTAGCCCACAAAATATTCACCAGCCGAAAGTTGAACGTAGAAACTTAGCAAAAGATAACAAAAATAGATGACAATAAGATATTAGATTTGTCAGAAGCGGATCAATAAATTGACATATATGACTCACAGCACCGTCTGATGGATACATTTTATACGAGACAGAATATTATGGGTATATAGTTTATTATGGGTATATAGTTTATTATGGGAATATAGTTTATTTCAATCTGAGATTACTGGTATCTCTGCTGCAACCGACTACCTACTTGGATAAATGTGGCGTGGTATATTAATTATATTTTATAAGTATATTGTCAGAATTTAAAAATAAGCAACATATATATTTATAACCACCTTAAATTATGCGCGGTATTTCTTCAATTTTCTATGAAGTCACAGATATATAATTATAAATCTGCGCTAAAGGCCTGCCAAAGGAAGCCCAATAGCTGCAGATGTAGGTGTATCTCCGATTGTATTAAAATGAGGTCAGTTGTAGTATTAGATCTATTTGTTAGATTTTAAAGAGACAATAGTTACGAAATTGTTGTTGGAAATAACCTATGGGCTGATACAATTTTTCAATGAAGGTGCAACAGGACAAAGCGCAAACTTGGCTCTGTCTTTACATGTTCCGTATTGTCGTATCGCACATCGAGCCGGGAACCAGACCGGAAGGTAGACGCTGGACCGTCGCTTATTTCAAAAGAAGAGTTATCGCCCATTGTAGCGTAAAACAATAATTCATTGAGCAAGTTTACATTATAACCGCAAGAACTGTTGACGGGGAATACAC